TGGCTTGTCAGTTCTTTTACAACAGAACCAAAGTCAGGGAGTGAACAAAACAGAAAAACAAAAAACAAAAAAAACCTATCTTCCAAAGTATTCACTCTATGGGGGAGATGGGCCATAAGCCTAAGAATGATTTAAAGCAGTATGCTAGGAGGTGCTATGAATACAAGACAGCGAGAAGGGCTAGGAATGCCTGTGGGGAGGTAGATTTAAAGGAGTGGTTAGACTTGAAGCCATGCCTAGAAGAAGTGAGATATCTTTCATGCAAATATCTGCAGGAAGAGAATTCCAGAAGAGGGTTTACACTAATACTAAAACCCTGAGGTGGGGGAGCAGCAAGAAGGCAAGTGTGACTGGGGCAGAACAGGATGGAGGCCAGAGAACTATGAGGCAGAGAACAGTTTCTTCTGCAATCAGAGCAGTAAAAGGGAAAGAACCTGGAGTCTGAGCTACGCTGACCTGGCCTTGAACCCCAGTTCTGTTCCTGTATCATCTATCCTGTGCTCCACATCTCCTACTCTATAAACAGTTGAACACAAAACGTCACTGCAAAGGGATATGGAATGTGAAACTGCTTATCACAAGACACAGCCATGCAAGGTTCCCACTCATCAGTCACCAGTTCCCTCCTTCTTTCCTGGTTACAGGGCTCTCCAACCCCACTTAGCTCAACTCTGGCTGAATGGATGGCATCTAGAAGGCCATTCAAGGTCCTCCAAGAGGTCCCAGATGTGTTACCAAGTACAAGAAAACAAAACACCAAACAACATTCATCTATGTATGTAGTATAGTATTGTTGGCAAACATTTTAATTTCCACATTCAAAAACCTGGAGGAATTTAGACTACACTGTTAATAGTTGTCATTGTTGAAGGTGAAGATTACCAAAGATTTGGGACACTGACCTTCAACCATGTGTATTTCTGAAGTTTGAACATTCTACAAGCACGTGTTGCACTGGCACGCAGAAATCACAACACAGGTGAGTGTTGACGCAAGGGAACATGTCTCTTGGACCTGCCTAGTATCAGCACTATGTAGTCCCTATCCCATCCCACACCCAAGGGAGCCTGGTATGGTCTGACTTCAGGAACTCTTAGAGCTTCTTTATAGAGAGACTGAACACAGAAGGAACCAAAGGGAGCTCTAGATGAGACCTGGACCACAAAAGATCTTGGGATGTATGAAACTGAGATGGACCTTGGCTGATGCCTATGAATTCCAACTGGTTCCATTTGAATAGGGGTGGAAAGTGAAGCACTTTCTAAATTAAATCAAACATTCTTGTTACAGCTGCCACCAAGGAGAGAAATAGAGACTGATGAAAATCCAAGTATTTCAAAGTACAAAGCTGATTGTGAACTTCTTTTGTGATTCAAGATTGCTGATGTTGAAAAAAAAATTCATTTTAAAGAATACTAAATTAAGGGATACTAAGAGAAAAACTATATTTCACAACTAAGTGAAGCCTGCAAGGTCATCCAAGGAAAGACAAATATCCCTGTTGCCAGTGTCTTACTCAACAGTGTATTACAATGTGCATTATAACCAGTCACAGCATGTAAGTTACATCACTTGGAAAACTTTTAGTCCTTTCCCCCTCTCCAAAATATACATTCCTGGTGAGGGGAATAAAAAACAATGCGTAAGCATCTGTAATTGCCCATATGGCTTTTCCCAGTTTAAATATATGTTGCAAGAGAAAATGTAGTTCAGAAACATTTTTACATTCCCTGAATTGGCCTTTGCACCAAAAAAAAAAAAAAAAAAGGTGCTCAACTCTGCATTAAATGAAATTCTGCTTGAATGGAAGATGATTGACTAGTACACCTCTCGTTTTGCAATTATAAGATTCCCAATTGGAGAAGACAGTGACACTTCCCACAGGAAAATCAATTCCCCCTCCCTCCCCGAAATTAAGCAATACCTCTCTTCTCTGCTTCTTCCCAGGTACCATCAGGACTCATCTTGAGTTTATCTTATCACAGACTGGAAATCCCCAGGGCAGAAAAATTCCAGTTCAGCATTTCCATAAGCACTCTTCCCAAACTGAGTGTTTTCCGTGAAACAAGACCACTATACAAATTGCTTTACTGACAACAGAACACAGAGCTGTATGATGAAAAAGGTAAAATATTGGTGCTCTAAAACCAGTCATATTGCCCAAGGAAGAAAATGAACTTATACAATTTACAAGAGGCAACCTTATATTTCCTGTTTAATATTATTCATCATTGGTCATTAAAAGCTGTAATGTCCATAAGAATATACTTTTTAGATAATTCCTTATATTTACCTGTACCTTTCTAACTATTCTCTCAATTTATATGATCTGATTACAAAAGCTAGTAGCTCTATTGAGTGAAAGTTCCACTGATGCAACTACAGTACTTTTTAATAAATTTATTTTTTGTAGTTGTAGATACATAGAATGCCTTTGTTTTTTATTTTTATTTTTTATGTGATGCTGAGGATCAAACCCAGTGCCTCATGCATGCTAGGCAAGCCCTCTGCCACTGATTTACAGCTCCAGCCCAACTACAGTAATTTTTAAGTCCATGAGAACTGCTAGGAATGTGTAACAAAATCCAGTACCTGCATTATAATAATGCACTTGCAAAAAAAGATTAAATAATTGTCCATGAGTAAATATACAAATTCCAAGAACTTTAAATGAATAAGTGCTATAGTCACAGACTATATGATCTGTGATTATGGTCCATGGTCCATGGCTGGCATGGATTCTTTCCCATTAAGGCACTCATACCAAAGTGTGATAGGCAGTGTTGTGAAGACCAGCAGTTAGATGAGAAGAGAGTGCGGGGGGCAGTGAGAAGGGTAAGAGTGGGATGAGATAATGAAAAATGATTCATTCTACTGGATTCATATACACTTAATAGGTTAATATTGGGAGTGAAACAACTTTTTGAACATAGCTGCTTGTGTGGGAAAGTTCAACAGAAGCATGTCTTAGACCCCAATTCTTAAAATAGGCTCAGTGCCACTGCAAAAAGTTCCACACAGACCCTTTCTGAAACAATGGTTTCTCTTACTGGAAAACCATAAAGTGTGTGAAATCTATGAAGTGGAAAGTCAGATCTGGGCTAATGTTCTTGTGAATAAGCTTGGTCTTAATGAAAAGGTAGAGGAACAGCAGCATTGGGGTTAAAGCTACCCTCTCTTCATTAATCAGATACTGTTGAGTTTGCATCCTTACCCTGTGCTGGACTGTGTGACCTTGGAAAGTCTGTTAATCTTTCTAAGTCTTGGCTTCAACTTCAACATAGAAATAACAGGTTTGGGAAGGGGCCTCCAGGAGATCATGCACAAATGGATTTCAGCTCAGTATCTGGTGCATATGAGCATCCTTTTCATGATCAGATGTGGCACTACAGTCCAGCTGTCATATCCCTATATCTTGTGATAACCATTTTCATCTTATGCCACTAGCTCTTACTGTTCTTTTCACCACATTATTTGGGGGGGGGGGAGGAAAAGGGGTAAGCAGTTACATTCATCCCACTTTTCCCACTATTGCTCAAAACAAGATCCAGGGAAATTGGTAACGTACACTGAAAAAAAATTTAGTCCTTAGGACATGATGCTGTAGGAATATGGAATATAGACAAATCATATAATTTCAATCTATAACATAAGGCATCAAATCATAGGTAGGTTTTATTCTAAAAGAAACAAAAGCCAAGCATCATGAAAGAGGATAGAAGGCACACATATGGGCCTATGACTATCTCAATATTGGTGACTATGAAACAGGGATTGGAAGGATATAGTATGGGGGGACTCTTATGGGGTCTGACTTCCAACAGGTGGCTAGTTTTAGTCATCTTCAGATGCAAAGCCTTAATGAGTTTGAGTATTCAAGTCGTGGGGATTCTGTTCAAGGCCTCCTCTTAGCTATCAAGTAAGATAATTTCCTGGGTTAAAACCTCATTGGCAAGTTAGTAAGCAGGGAACTGTCTGCTGTAGCTTACACCTGTCCCCTGAAAGGAATTCTGGCCTGATGGTGAAAACCCACCATTCTTTCCAAACAACCATCCGGCCGCTGGGGCGCCTCGCGACAAACGGGGGAAGCCCACTAGGAAGTGGTCACGATCAACCAAGCCACAAATCCCCAGGGTGTGGGATTTCCACCTCTATAACACGTCTAAAATCCGAAAATAGACACCTGCTTGCCATACTGCAATGGGATTCCCCCAGCAGCAACTCCCCCCCCCCACCCCAGTTACATGTTTTATTAATAAATGCAAGATGGCACACGGAGGAAAAGAATGGGAGGTAAGGCATCTGCAGCTGGACCCGAACCAGGGCAGTTTGCAAAAATAAATAAGAAGCATGTGACAAGAAGCAGGTCCCCAGGCTGGAACTGAAGACCTGGGATGCCCCACGCACCTTCGCCTGGCTTTCCCCACCAGGGGGATGAAGGTCAGCGGCAAGATCCCAGTCCTCCCGGGCACGCACCCTGCAAACCTTGACAGGTCCCTACCCCTTCCCCAGCCCCAGGACCCAGGCAGTGAGGCAGGGGAAGCCCCGGCCGCAGCCTGCTGCGAGGACACATACCTGCTGCCCGGGCTCGGGATTCGCTCGGCTCTGCAGCGGCCCGGGCCCCGGCTCTCGCTCCCTGGGCTCCCCTCTCCGCCCCCCCGCCCCCTCGCGGCCCCGCGGCTCCGCGGCTCCCTCCGCCCCTCCGCCCACCGCGCTCAGGGGCGCGCGCGCGGCCTCGCGCCGGTGGCTCCCCCGGACCCGCGCCTGCGCCCTCGTCGCTCGCCGGTCGCGCGCGCGCCCCGGAGGCTGCGGAGCGGCGGCGCGGCTGTCTAGGAAACCGTGGCCTCTGCGGGCCTGGGCTGGCTGCGGGATCCCCGCAGGGGGCGGGGGCCGGGTCTCAGCCGCCACAGGGGCCGAACACAGCGCGCGGGCTTCGTGGCGTGGGTGAGGCGGTCGCGGGGCAGGGCCGGGCGCCCGCGTGTGCGCGTGTGGACAGAGGAGAGGGTCACGAAGGGGAGGTCTGAAGGTGGAGGCGCGCGGGGCGGAGAAGCAACAAGTGCCGAGGCCGAGGGGGCGCTCGGGGAAGCTGGGGGCCCACCCGGGGCTTTCGTACAGCCGAGACTAGAGACTAGGAACCTCCTGTCGCTTTGGTGCAGCGCTTTGCGGCTTCCACAGCTCATTCCCAGTTGTGCGGTTTTATCCGCGCCCTGTGAAGAAGCGAACGGTATGCAGTGTCCTCTGAATTTGAAGGCCACAGAGAGGACTGCACCTCTTTGTGGTTGGGGTCGTAGCAGAATGAGAGAGAGACCCCTGACTCTCAGTCTACTGTCTGGGAGAAAAACAACTGTCAGTATTCTCATTTGATGGTCTCAACTCAGGACCTCTGTAAGGCAGTGTTTCTCGCTCCATCTTCATTATCCTTAAGGCTTTGAAGACATTTCCCCCTCTCATCCCCACCCCCCGCCGTGAAATTCAGCTATCACAGATGCAATGTGCACCTCTGCATGTACTGTATGTGTATCAGTGCTTTATACACAAAAAGTAAGATTTTGCCCTGAGCAGGTATCCTGCCCGGATTGAGAATGCTCGTTCTAGAGCCATGATCACTAGTTAACTGGTTGGGTAAGTGGAGTCACTGAGCAATCTGGATGCAACAACAAATAGTCTCTGTAGATTAAAAAAAAAAAAGTCCTCACTCATAAATGTACAACTCTTTCTAATGACTGAAGGTGCTGCTGTGAGCACAGTTATTTAAGCAGCTTCTGGGTTTATTGTAGCTTTTATTATTTGTAGTCTTTGTCAATTCATGTTAAAAATATAAAAATATAGCCATTTTTCTTATGGAGACCTGGCCTTTTACATTAAAATACTTGAACAGATTGGAAACACTCATCTCTAGGACATAAAGTTCTAGATGGCCTTTGTTCTCATAGCTCTTCTAAAGATTTTATTTAGTTAGGCCCATTTGGCCTCCCAGGAATGCCCTTTATCTTTCTTGCTTCCTTTTCCCATCTCAGCTGTTCTAGTGAGATGATGGAAACTAGAAGACTTCCAAAACCCAAGTCAGATTTGCCCCAGGAGCTTGCATCAAAATTTTCTTAGATATAGGAATATCTAGATAGGGAGTGAGTATCTAATTTTGGCAAACTTGGAGTATCAAATTTCCTCTTCAGTTCTCCTTCACCTGTCAGCATTTCTTACCCAACTGGAGTAAATTGTGGAACTTCAGGGGCGGGGGATCCTTGAAGGAGATATCAGTAGAAGCTGCCTCATTTGGTAAGGATTTTCCTTCACATGTTGAGAGGGAAGAAATATGGATTGGAAAGGGAAAAATGGGAGTGGGTTAAGAATACTTAATGGAGGATTCAATGGATGGGAGGTATAGTTTTCTGGCAGGTGGTGGCAACATTTCAACTGCTCTTGATCTTAAAAGAGCTTTGGCATAGCTCACCCAAGTTATTACCCACTCTATGTTTTCCCCACTTAGTAGAATTCTACTTAAGATTTGAACGCCTTTGATTTGAAAAGCATTCAGTTACAATGCTAATTAATTAAAGTAGAACAAGTATTTTGAAACCTGTAGAGAGAAATTGGAAGACCACTTCAGCTTAACTGGAATCTTTGTATTCTAATGCAATTTAAAAAATTTCAAATGAACATTTTTTTCCCTACAATGACTATCTATAAAGACCTAGAGAGATCTGCATAAAAATTAAATGCTAATATATTTTACCCATGTCTTTTAAGTATGCTGTTTCTATCTCTGTTTCTCTCTGGTAATCTAAGTTCATGGAAATTGTAGGTGCAACCATTTTATGTTGTAGTGTGAAGTCAAAAATCCCCAAACATTTATAATTTGTCAGCTCTATGTTTCCCCCTGGTGGTGTGCTATTTCCATAGCACCTATCCAAAGTAAAATCTTCCTCTCTTGATAAATTCTTCAGGATGTTGAAAACCTAAATCAGAGGTGTAGAAGAGATGCCATTTGCTTTTCTCCATACTTGGCCTTCTTTGTTTTCAAATATCCCAGGATCTAACATCTGGAGGAGGATTAGCCCTTGAGGTTGATCTGTCTAGAGGAACTATGAAGATCTACAGCTGGTTCCCCTTTTGCTTAGGGCATTATTTTTTAACTTACCTAGTTTTTAAGACTCAATGGGGAACACTTGTTTACAAATAATTCTGGAACCTCACCTCAAACCTAAAGCTATAAATAGTATAGGTGCTGCTTCAGCAGACTACAGGTGACTAATGAAAGGAATTTTGTTGGTTGAGCTAACCAACCAGGGTTTAGGAGCTATAGAGCAGGAATGGAAGAAATGGTTTAAGCTTTGTATGTCACTTTCTTGCCAGATAGACCTGTTCCTAAGGTGACTGTAATTGGCATGATCTCCTATACCAAGATAACCTTTGAGGTAAGCTAGATTTTCCTTTTGTCAAAAATACTGACTTTTCAGAAATGCCAAGATCACATAAGCATAAAATTTATGTGTGTGTGCAGCTGCAAGGTTATGGGAGGGCAGATTGGAGATTATGTTGATCCTGTGAATGTCTGAAAAAGATTGATGTCAGAATTAAAATTTTTATTTTCTTGAAGTGGCTACTTAAAAAAAATAGAACAAATGAATCTGATGCCACATGATTTTTTAAAGTTTGAATAATATCCAAAGTCAAATTGTTAATGTTTATGCAAATGTTAATATTTTGAAAGCTCTTCTAAATGTTGTTTTAGAAAGCTTCAATTATTCGGAATGTAGAGGGAGAAAGCCAATTTGAGTCAATGGAAAGCTTGCCTGCAGAATATATGTAACTGTTATTTATTTTGAAATTTAAGTATGCATAGTTAGCCAGAAGGGTTTTAATTAAAATCCTGTTGAGATAACTTAAATAAATGAAATTGACCTGTAATTAGCAACATCCTTGTATAAACAGTATATGTGGATACAACACAATACAATGCACTCAGTAGGCATTCAATAAACATTAATTGTGAAGAGGTTTTCTTACAACTAGGTTAAATATACCTAACACAGCATGCTCATCTTTTTTTTTTAAATCTTTGTTTGTTTATTTATTTATGTATTTTTATGTGGTGCTGAGGATTGAACCCAGTACCTCACACATGCGAGGCAAGTGCTCTACTACTGAGCCACAACCCCAGCCCCATCAGCATGCTCATCTTAAAAACAATACCGTACGGATAGATTTCACCTTGATCACTGGCGTACCAACCTTGGGACACTTAAAAGCAGTCACCTTGGACAAAGGTGGTAATTCTTATTACGTGTAGATTAAAACTATAATAAGACCACTATCTGCATTTTATTGCCAATAATTTTTATATATCAATAATTCTCTATGATGTTGGTGACAAAATACTCCTCCTTGAAAAATCTCATGTGGGGTCTAGGTTCTAAACAATTTAGATGATTCTGTTAAATTTTAGTAACATATGTAAGTTTCAAAATATCACATTTTGCTTGTGTTAGGCCCATTTTGCTTGTCCCCAGCCCCTTGCAAATAATTTATCAGATTGTAATGGTTTATCCTTTAATAAACATTATATTTCATAAGGAAATTAATTTAGAGAACTACCTCTGATACAGTTGACTTTCACTAAACATAGATTCAAATACTGAATATGTTTCTAAGTAAATTTATAAAAGTGTAAGGTAATTCAGGACTTCAGGCATAGTTCATGTATACAATCCCTTTGGTCCTACATAGCCTACATAGCCATGATAGTAAGAGTAAAGGAACAATTTGGTTATTTCAGTGTTGTCATCCTGTGTGACCACTTAAGTGTTTATTTCTATGTCAAATACAAGAGTTAGAAAAAGTGCAAACTGAGGTGTAATATTTTTGGTTAGCAAGTACAAATTTAATTTCATATGTGAAATTATTTTTTAAATTACCAAACTAAAGTATCTTTAACTTTGAAATTTATTCTTTTTTAATTGTTCATATTTGCTTTAAAACTGACTGAGTAAAAAAAATAAAAATAAAAATAACTGAGTCAAGAAAATAGGAGATTTAATGTTTCTTACTACCGGAACAGACCAATATGTAGGCATAAGTTTTTTTTCCTTTTTTCAAAAACAATAAATTATACATTTGGAACTACAATGTTTTATTTCAGATTGTCATGTAAATGGAGTTAAATAAAAGAATTTTCACGGGGCTAGGGCTGTGGCTCAGAGGTAGCGTACTTGCCTAGCATGTGTGAGGCACTGGGTTTGATTCTCAGCACCACATATAAATACATAAATAAAATAAAGGTCTATGAACAACTTTTTTCCCCTGTTATTTCATGATCATTAAAGGAAATAGTCTCATCATATCAAAGAGGGGATATTAAAAAAAGATCCTTCTGGATGTCAAATATTCTGAGTATACCACACTAGGCCCAAAGCATCACCAAATGAATGCTATTTAATTTTTAAGTGAGTTTTATTATGTGTTTGGAATTTACATGTACTTCATGATGAAATTGTTCCTTTGACTACATAATTCATGGGCCAAAATGAAATATCAACAAATATATATTTGAGAGCACAAAAGATGATCTAATATTCCAATTAATATAATTAGGTTACATTAAAACCTGGCAAATAACATGTCCATGTGTTATAGAATCTTAATAATTGTAGACATTTATTGAATGCTTACAATATGTTTGATATTATTTTATGTGTTTAAATCTATATTTCATAATGATCCTTTTGGGAAGGTATATTTATTATCAGTTTCATGTTATCAAATGAGAAAACTAAGGCACAGATAGATGGATTTAGTAACTTGCTCAAGATCACACAGATAAGCAAATGAAGGAACCAAGATTCCAACGTGGGCAGTCTGATTCAGAGACCAGAAGTTCAACCCAGGGTGTCTCACTGCCTCATATGTATATAGAGAGTTATACCTACATAAGTTTAAGGAATCATTACGTAGTGGGGAAGCCATTCTGGATTTCAGGTTTTACCTCTTAACTCATTTTGTAACCTACAGTAAGGCAATCAAGTAAATGTCTCTGATTTAGAGAAGTTCTAACTTAACCCCATGTAGAAATTCTTTTTGTTTTTTCTTCCCCAGAGTTATAGGCATGAATTTTATTGAAGGGAAAGGAAAAGGGGACACTCTCAAGGGAGACAGTAGGTCTCTCAGAAAAGAGAGGGACCCATATTTTTCTAGCTTTAAATTTTTATGATTATATGATTATTTTATGTAAAGAGTAAAATTTGACTTTTCACTTACTAACAGACTAAAAGTGAACCAGACAAAGCCCAGCATGATTGAATTTGAAAGCAGATCAACTCTGATGTTTTGTGGTTGAAAAATACATTATTATTAAACCTATTATGTTCATTATATTACTACATTCCAACAATTGGCTTGATATAAACATTTTTAATACTCATATACACCATTTTATATAATGAAGGTATTTGGAGCCACTGCCTTGATCTTCTTAGTGTCATATAGAATAAATGTTTTTTGGGAAAATGAGCTTTTTTTATTTTTATTTATTATTATTTTTTTGCAGTATTAGAGATCAAACCCAAAGCCTTACATGTGCTAGGCAAATGCTCTATACTGATCTATATCCTCTACCTTTTCTAAAATTTTAATTTTTTTGAGATGGCGTCTTGCTAAATTGCTGAGGCTGGTTTCAAACTCTCATCCTCTTGCTAGTCTCTCTAGTAGCTGGGCTTACAAGCATGCACTACTGTGCTAAACTGGAAAATGAAGTGGAGGAAAGATTATAATATATACCAAGTTCCCCCATTTTTTCTCATGAATTCTACTACTTTATTGAAATAATAATCCATATTAAGCCTTTATGAAAATGCATGTAAAATTATTTCTCAGGGGACACAACACAAAGACTAGCATTTATAGTAAAAATATATATAATTCCTTGCCCTTTCCAAAAATCCCTACTTGTATGTTTGAAAGGACCTCCCTCCCCTCCAATAATCTTTTTAATAAAATTCTATTTCCCTTTTAACCCAACTTCTAGCCTTGTGTTTGGAAATAATAACAATAAATAGTTTTCTTGGGACCTTAAAAGATAGTAAAGAGGGCTGGTGTTGTGGCTCAGAGGTAGAGCACTCGCCTAGCATGAGTGAGGAACTGGGTTCAATCCTCAGCACCACATAAATACATTGTGTCCACCTATAACTAAAAAATAAATAAATAAATATTTTTTAAAAAGATAGTAAAGAAGCAGGTAAAATTAAAATATTAACAAAGTGAAGCTTCTACTTATAAAGTCCTTTTAGGTATCACTAAGTAAAAAAATTCATATGAAATTTATAAACATAGCCTACTGTCTTGTTTTTATGCATTATTAAAATTGTTATATTTTGTTTAAATTTTTTCCTTTATGGTGTCTACATTTCTTATTAAAGCAGAAGAAGTAGAGGTGAACCATAAAGAGAAAGTCGGTTTCCTTTTACTTTGCAATTTAGAAAAAATCTTTCATCCAAGAACAGAACAGGTAAGTAATTATTTATTCCTTCTTTTTAACACCTTAGGGCTGTATATGTCATCATAATTTTTTAATTATACTCCTAGATCATTGGTTTTCATTTAACTAAGAGACAATGAAGGTAGTCTCTGCAGAGTAAAAAATCTTGCAATTTGTAGTTTTACAAGCCTCAATTCTAATATTTGAGAACTCTATACGTATAGAACTGTGTTCAATTATATGTTAACTATTTATTTTAAAAAAACAGGAACAACAAAATTCTGTAAGCTTGTTAAGTCTAAGCCCAGTCTTGGGAAGTTGAAGAATTACCTTTCTAGAAGATCTTCTAAGTAGTGATTGTCTGCCAAGAATAGCTTATATATCTGCTTAAGTACCCACCATCAGACCTCCTAACCTTGTAATGCTATGGTTATTTTGAAAACCAGAGGGTGATTCAGGGCAACAGAACCTGACTTTAACAATATTATGGGGTGGGCACAGTGATGCATGCCTGTAATCCCAGCTGCTTTGGAGGTGAAACAGGAGGATTGCAAGTTCAAAGTCAGCCTCAGCAATTTAGCAAGTCTCTAAGCAACTCAGTGAGACCCTGTCTCTAATTAAAATATAAAATAGGGCCAGGGATGTGGCTTGGTGGCTGAGTGCCCTGTATTCAATCCCCCAAAAAAGAATGTTATGGAAAAGTACAAAGTTATTTTGTGAGTAGAGATACAGTCATGTATTTTATTCCATTATTGACCTTATGGCTATCATTAACACATTCCATTTTTCTGGTTTGTGTCATGTTCAAGTACATATATGTTAACATTGATAGAAATTGAATTGTGGACGCTTAATGAATCACGTCTACCAAGAGTAGAGAGGAAGGTAGGATAAATTTCAAGAAGAGTATGTAGGATTGTTGAGGCCTGTTCTCAAAAATGTGGGATAAGGTGGATATTTCAGACAGTGAGAAGTAGATCAGAATGTGTTAATCTGAGAATAGCATTTGGGAGCAAGGAAAAAGCTGTTCCTCATGTTTTTCCATTGGGTCAGAGGAAAAGGACAAAACAAGGAGACAATAGTTATATTGGAAAAGGCTTCTTGTGATATAAGGGAGAACAGATCGTCATTAGAGTGAAGTATCAAGAAATTAAAAATAAATTTATGACAGAGTTTGTCCTCAAAGAATTGACTTTCTAGTAGATATGGTTGAAGGGTAGGGTTGAGGGAGGAGGAAGAGGACCAAGAAGTTGAATTGTGTGTAGAGAAAGTGTGGCTGGGAGTGTTTAAATATGAAGATGTGAAGGTCAAAGGCAAAAGAGGCATGTGCTCAGAGGTCAAATAAAACAGAAACAAAAGAAAAAGAAGTCTTTGTGTAGGTGAGGAAGTAGAGAATTGTTAGAGAAACAGTAGGACCATTATGATCTTTCTCATAAACAAGAAAATATGTGGATGATCATTTATGTATCTAAGGACAAAGTGGAGTGGGGTGGAGAAATGGTAATTTAGGCCTGAGAAGGGCACACGAATGTGAAAAGTCTCGAGGTGATTAGCTCCCTTATTTCATAGGGCAGTATTCAGAGATACATCCTATTGGGCTTTTTATTGATTGTAGTCAGAGTTTCTAGGCTTTGAGGACATGGGAAACCTCTAGGAAGATCAGGGTAAGAGACAACACTGTAAGGGGATAATGGGGGTGGGAAGAAATATAATATCCCGATCTTTTTGCCATTGTTGTACAGAGCTGCAGCATTTTGTAGGAAACATGCATAATTCAAGACTATTTCTGGCAGTAAAGAGTGGAAAGTTTCCTATTGTCAAGTGGTAGTAGTTTAAATGAGTTTATGAATCACTTACCAAATAACTTTGGTACTGTGATTTTTGATGAATTATTAATTTGGGGAAATTTTTATTTCATAGTTTTCATAAAAAGTTAATCTTTATTATCAAGTCATTTTTATATTACATAAAATATAGCCATTCACAATTTAGGTTTTCTAATTAGGAGTAGTGATGATGGTTGACACTCATTGAGCCCTTCTTAAGTTCCAGGCATTTGCATACACAAATTCTTTTTATACTCATATATCCTTTTGAAATAGGTGTAGGTTGAGCATCCCTTATCAAGAATGTTTTTCAGATTTTGGAGTTTTTCAGACTTTGGAATATTTATCTAGATTTACTGGTTGAGCATCCATAATTTGAAAATTCAAAACCTGAAATGCTCCAAGATCCAATATCCAAAATTTGAGTGCTGACATGACACCCAAGAAGTTTCAATTTTTGAGAATTATGGATTTTCAAATAGGAATGCTTAAAGTATTAAGCATTCTTGTGCTATTAATTTTACTATTACTCTGTTCCTCTTTCTGCCTTCATATATAGATGAGGAAACTAGGCCCAGAGTCACACCTGTTATGAAGTGGGATTTGCACTCTTATCAAGCCTTCTGTCTTTAGACCCCAGATGTTGGATCCTGTATACTACATACCTTTTAAAAAATTATATATATATATATTTAGTTGTTTTTAGTTGCTGATGGAACTTAATTTATTTATTTATATATGGTGCTGAGAATCAAATCCAGTGCCTTATACATGCTAGGCAAGTGCTCTACCACTGAGCCACAATGCTAACCCCATACCTTTTTTAACAGATAAAAAGAATGAGTTGAGGATAGGGTTGCTTGCCAAGAATTATACTTGGAATGCTTGGTAACTTGAGCATATTTATAGTTGGAATAATGTACACAAAAGTGGCTTTCGTGAGTTGCTACAAGGAACGAGATTTATTGCTTCTATAAACATTCTACAAAAATTCAGTGATACTCAGTGATATGAAGGGCTGTTGTCTAGGGTAGGCTAGCTGCTATTATTCAAAAGAGCACATCAAGTGGTACAACCATAGTAAACTTACAAAGATCTTATCCTCAGTCTTGTGGTCCTGAAAACTCAAACTGGTCAGTAGGGTCCCAGAGAGGATAAAATTACTCCTACAACATGATGCACCTAATGCATAATGCCAGAGTACAAATTAATTAATTTACAATGAGATAAAACAGTTACATAAACCATGTACCAGGATGATCAGTATATTTTCTTCTGGATGACCTAGATGAGAAACCAAATCAAAATCAAGATGTTTCTTAGTAAACAACAGGCACTTTGAATATGTTTTGTTTTTCTACAATATTTATCTATTTGAGAAATTCTTCAAGGATTTCATCAATAATAGCTGCTATTGGCATGTGCTGTCAGTCTTTAACTTATAAAAATAGCCTCCACATCTGGGCCCCACCACCAGGGGCTCTGCTGCCATAGAAACAGTTGTTAATAAACATGGGTATTTTAGAGAATATGTGGGTTCAGAATTGAAGGAAGGGAAGAATCTGTGCAAAGCAGAAGTCCCAAAGGGCACTCATTTCAGCGATAGATTCTAAATAGGATTAGTTTGCTTAATTGGGGATCTCTTTCCCTAAAATGTATTTCTATAACACCACCTGAGTCCTTTCCCCTCCACTTTTGTTATAGTGTCTAAAATTTCACCAAATAGCCGTTATTTGCTTAAGACTATAAATATCTATGTGTGGCAGATAATCTTGGTAGTTTCTCTAATACCCATTCTCCATTGCTTACCTGTATTTTCATAGGGCAGCAGTGTGCCCAGAAAAAAAGCCCATACTAGTTGAAACCAGTCATGAGAACCCCATTTCCCTTTGCCAGTGATTGTGAAGGGAGAATCTGCAGAGTTCAGGGAGGTCTTTGGCTTTCCTGCCAAAAGGGGCCTTTAGTGGCTAGTATTATCCAATTTTCCCTTTCTTCATGTCTTAAATGCAAATGTGAAGCCTGGAACTGTAGCAGCCATCATAATACAACCATGAAATGACAAGCATGAGGCTGCAAATGTGATTCCCACAAGGTGAGGGCTTTGTAGGAGAAAAATTGAAAGAGTCAGGGACATTGTTGAACTTCTGGACTTATAGGAAAAGGTAAGAAGAGGAAAGCTGTAGCCCTTGTTATTTGATAGCAAAACATTTGGTTAACCTGTGTCTGCTATTCTATGGATGGCTGACTTTGTGCAAATTGAGACTAATAGCATTAGGAGAAATGAGAGGAAAAATTTGGAATATTGTCAGGTGTTGGTTATCTCTTGTGACTTTGGTAGAATCCTGCAGGAGGGTGTAACTCAAATGAGTGCTCAGCATGAAAGAGAGGGTGTGGGTAAAACATAGTTTTGCTTTAGAGGCACTCTGATTTTAGCTCCTCCTTTAAATTGACAATGAGCCCCATAATTTGGAATTTTGGCTATTGTTGGAATTGCCTCAAGTCTATTATAAAAGTTCAGAGTCAACAGCTAAGAGATAGCGTCTAGGCCCAAAGATTATTTGGAATATTTGAGTAGGGGGCGGGTTGCAGTATTCATACAAGGAATTGGTCTGAAGCAAATAAAACAGAAGTTGGATATGTTTTTGAGAGAACTGTGAAACAAAGCTAGCAATTAGTTTGATCTTTTTCCTTCCTTCCTTCCTTCCTTCCTTCCTTCCTTCCTTCCTTCCTTCCTTCCTTCCTTCCTTCCTTATTTCCGTGGTGCTGAAGATCAAACCCAGGACCTCACACAGGCTAGACTAACACTCTACCACTGAACTACACCCCTAGCCCTTACAAGGTTTTATTTTAACCTTCAAGCAATTCTCATCCTTACCTCCCTAATGAAACCAATGCAAAGTAGCCTACAGAAGCTGTGGAGCTGTAGGAAAGGTATCCATTTTAAAATCTGTCTTAGATAAGGTTGCAGAGCTTAATGACAAGATTCTCAGACTCAGATTAGAAACTACTATATTGTGTAATCAAAGAATTTGCTTTATTGCCTGCCAGGAAGTCTGTGATTTCTGTCTAGTGAGATATGATATGGATTGTGGACCATTGACCATTGTGTGCTTCCCATTATCCCCTTTTTCTGAATGGGAATTTTTATTGAGGTATCTCTGTTCTTTCTTTTTCATCATTATTTATATGGGAAAGAAGAAATTAAGAAAAAGATGACTTTTAGCTGTATAGATAGGCAGATAAATGACGTCATATTTGGGCTTGATAGACCAGACAGAAAATCACCAAAGCTAGATATAGTAACTGGATGACATAAAGTTGTCTTTCTTCAAGAGGCAATGGATATATTCTGTTTCATGCACGATATTTGTTGAGATTCCAGTAAACTCGAAGTTCTGTGGAAGCTTGGCAAATGCTTTCAAATGAACATATAGGAAGAAGTATGTGTGTATATAGGTTTGAGGACTATAGCAGATAATTTTTGTTGGCCAATCTAATGCCTGTTCCTTACCTCTACCATAAAAATTTAGAAAAAGTATTTGATTTTCTAACATTTCTTACTCCTACAATGGCCATATTATGCAATTCTAGCCCATAAGTCTGCTGGAGGACCTCACAGAAGGCTTTCCTTTCTTTGTGGAAAAAAGGGTCAGATAGGGCTGAGGTAACCCCTTTTGCTTGCTTTGACCTTAGATGTTGTGTTAGTTTTGCTTTACTGTGACCAAAATACCTGATGAGAACAACATAGAGAGGGAAAGTTTATTTTGGCTAATGGTTCCAGAGATTTAGTCTAAGGTCGACCAAGTTCCTTGCTCTGGTGAGGCACTACATCATGGTGGAAGGGCTTGCCAGAGGGAAGCTCTTTAGTTCAAGGCAGCCGGGAAGCAGAGCAGGGAGGAAGGGGCTGCAGGGAAGATGAACCCTTCCAGGGCATGCCCCCAGTGGCCTGCCTCCTTCAGTCACACCTGCCTACCTACAGTTACCATCTCAATAGTCCATTCAAACTAGGATGAACTGATTAGGTTATAGCTCTCACAAACCAATCATTTTGCCTCCAAATATTCCTGCATTAACACAGGAGCTTTTGGGGGTATAACTCACATACAAACCATAACATTCCATCCCTGGCCCCCCCAAATTCATGTCCATCTTACAATGCAAAATGCATTTAGTTCATCTCCAAGAGTTCCATAGTCTAATCAGTTCCAACATTGCTCCAAAGTCCAAGTTCAGAGTCTCTGAGACTCAAGGCAAACTCCTGGCTATGAACCCCTATAAAATCAAAATCAAGTTACACACACACACACACACACACACACGTATGCATAAAATCTCTCTCTCTCTCTCACTCTCTCGCTCTCTCTCCAATATACAGTGGCACAGAGTAAACATTCCCATTCCTAAAGGGAGGAATAGGGGCATAGAAAGAGGGATGGGACCAAAACAAGACTGAAATCAAGTCAGCAAATAAACAAGTCTTATAATGTCTTATATAATGTCAAATAAAAGTCTTATAATGGCTAGGACACATGGTAGTGAGACATTCTCTCCAGAGGCTTGAGCAGCTCCAACCCTTTGGCCTTGTTGGTTGCAGCATGTATGGGTTCTCTCCCTAGCTGGCATCTTTGCTTGGCAGACAGTCCACATTACTGGCATCTCTTAATTCCTGAGGTCTCCATTCCAGCTTTGGCTTCATCATTATAGCTTTATGCATCATCCTCTTGGGCAGCACAGGAATTACCACCCTGATACACTTTGCTTAGCCTCCCAGACCTTTGAAATATGGAAGCCTCCCTGACCCCTTAACTCCAGCATCCTGCATTCCTGCAAAACAAGCATCACATAGATAATGCCAAGGTCTGAAGACTACTCATATAATATCTGGTCCCCTTGAAGTTGCAGCAACTTCTGAGCGCCTGTGTAACTGAACATTGTAAAACAACTTCCTAGGTCACCTGTGTGAGCAGGGTGACCCCATGATCTTTTCTCAAAGGAATTTTCCCTTCTACATCCTTGAACCTGCAATGGGTATGGTCTTTCAAATTCCTGAGATGCCCCAAAGTCATCTTTCCTATTGTCTCCACACAAAGAATTTACCATCTCTTTAGCAGCTATAATTTCTTTAACCACCACAACTTCCTTGGCCCCAGTTTTACTTGCAGTTTTCTGGTCAAACTGCAAGTATTTAATATCCTCCGGCTCTGTTACCACCCCCCCTTGATTCTTAAGTAAACCTAGCTAAAAATCTGTCAGCAAAATTCATGCCACTAACTGCTGTGCTGTCTTGAAATTTCCTCCACCAGATTAAAGTCAGCCTCACACAAAGTCATGGGCAAAATGTAGGCAAGTTCTTTGCTAGAATGTAACATGAGTAGCCTCTACTCCAATTCCCAACTGAACACCCATTTTCTTCTGAAACTTTATGTACACAGTCTGCATTCCTATTGTCATTCTGGTCTTCTGAATTCCTACCAAAATAGCTGATTAACTCCACTTACGACATTTGAAGACTTCTCCAGCCTGCATCCCCAGACTTTTTCAGATTTCTCCCCCAAACTAGTTCCAAAGACTTCTGAACCACATGGTCAGGTTTCTCACAGCAACAACCCCACTCTTGGTACCAATTTTTTGTGTTACTTTACTTTGCATCCCGTGACCAAAACACTGGATAAGAACAAATTAGAGGAAGGAAAGTTTATTTTGGCTCACGATTTAGTCTATGGCCAACCAAGTTCCTTGTTCTGGGCCAAAGGCGAGTCAGCACATCATGGTGGAAGGGCTTGACAGAGGGAAACTCTTATGTTCATGATAGTAGCCAGGAAGCAGAGGAGGGGGAAAGGAACTGTAGGGAAGATGAACTTTTCCAGGGTGTGCCCCCAGTGGCCCACCTCCTTCAGTCACCCCACCTGTCTAGTTACCACATCTGTTATTCCATTCAAATTAGAATGGATTGATTTAGCTGCAGCTCTCACAATCCAATCATTTCGCCTCCAAATATTTCTGCATTAACACAGGAGCTTTTGGGGGACCTCTCACATCCAAACCATAACAGACATGGTGCTTGAAGCTTCTGTGACCATTTTGGAACCATTAAGCAATAATCATGAGTGCAAAAAGTTAATAGGAGGATGGAGAAAAAAATATTGGCAATATTGTTGACCTCAATGATTAGTAATGTTATGCTCGAATTCGGGACCCCCAAAAGACCACCAGAGACCAAGATCGATGTAAGCAGCAAAGAGGTGTTTATTGCGAGCTAGCTCAGTCCTCCGCACACACACGGCAACTGGCAACGCTGAGAGGCCCCGAGCCCAGGGTTTGCAGCAGTTTTATACACTCTTTGGGGAAGGCAGGGACTTCACATGTATCATACATCTCTTAGCAAATCATCACGCACCGTGGGAAAATCAAACAACAACTCTAAAACATGATTAGCACATTCACTGGCAGGAACAAGTTGGGTAGGGGTGACTGGTTACTACAAGAGGGGGATTCGTTTGAACTGATTGGTTTAAGCCAATAACTACTGGGAGGGTCATCTGGCATCCCAGGTATTTCCCTGTCTCATGCTGATTGGTGGCTGCTAGGGAGTTGCTATGGATCCCCACCTAGCCTGACTAAAGTCAGGGATACCTGTCACAGCAGATCTCTCCTGTTATTTGTAGATAAACAACTTAGCTGGATGGGAATGTGCCTAGGAGTGCTCTGTGGGTCTTTCCAAGGACAAGGGTCACGCCCCCTTCCTTGGACAGGCTTTGCTCTGAGGTAGAGGCTGGTTTTTCAGTAAACCAACCTTAGCAATTGCTCAAGTTTTCTTGCCTTATGAGAGAAATTAGTTCATATTTGCTTAAGGTATTGTCAACTGGATTCTGTTACAATCCAAAGAATTCTAAACTGATATATTAAAAAGATATCTCTCTTTTTAACTTTCAGTTGTAGATGGACACAATACCTTTACTTTATTTATTTAATTATTTTCTTGTGGTGCTGAGGATCAAACCCAGTATCTCACATGTGCTAGGTAAGCACTTTACCACTAAGCTACAACCCCAAACCCTAAAGATCTCTTTTTTATGCTACAATATGGGATGGTTTTTCTTTTTAATAATGATGGCTTATTAGCAAACGATGGGTTATATGAAGTAAGGGAAAGATTTTTTTAAGTTTTATAATATGCTGATTGGCATGTTAAAATTGCATTATTGAAGTATTACTATTGATAAATATTTTAGTTCATTTTCATTATTATAATGAAATACCTGAGGCAGGCTAACTTTATATAAGTTTATTTAGGTTGTAATTTTGGAGGTTCAAAGTCCAAGATTAGGCAGTTCTACTTTTTAACCTCTGGTAAGTAAATACCTGATAGCTGATGGCATCCTAAGGGCCAGAGATGTGTGGGACAAAAATCATGTTTTAAAATAGGAAGCCAGAGGTTCATTCAGGGGCTGGATTTGCTCTTGTAACAACATACTCTTAGGACAGCCTAGAGTTCCCATTAGAGCTACCTTAATTCCTTCTGAGGACAGCTCTCACTATGACCTAAGGACCTTGCACTCAGCTTCACCATTTTTTTTTTTTTAATGAGGATTAACACACAAAGCAAATATTAAAACTCAGTGTAAATACCTGGACTGATATAATGTCCATTTTTGGATGATTTTTTCTTCTATTTAAATGTTTTTTTCATCTCTAAAGAAATCTTAAAGTGCTAACTTTATATAAAACAGACAAATTGTTCAAGTAATTAAGCCAATTTTTATAAAACTAAACAAGGAACTAAAAGTAAACATTAAGTGAAACAGAAGATATATCTGGAGGAAAAAAACTGACAAGTTGTATCTGGACAGAGCAATAGAATGCTATTATATCATTGATACTTAACTGGTCATTCCCCCAGTGTTAAAGATTAAACACTCAAGAAATGCCAAGGCAAGCATAGAAAGCAAGTTTTATTTAAGAGAGGGTCAGAGATGCAGACTTTTCCAGAGAGAAGTGGGGCCCAAAGCTGAGTACTTATGGAAGGGGGTGGTCTTGTCTCTTATAGATCCAAGAATCCCCCTCCTACCTTCTCTTCTCCATGTACTTGCCTAAGGGCAAGAAGGAGCAGCACTAGGGATAATGGCTTACATTGGAAGTATGAACCCTGGAGGTTGAACAGGGAAGTGAGATGGATTTGGAGGTTAGCTGTTAGCTACCCATTGTCTTTTCTTTGATAACCAGCTCTCATCTTCTCAGCCCCCATCGTTCATTCATTACCTACAGGGCCAGGCCTTCTGTCACTGCCTCAGTTTGTTGAGGAATGTGACATTTCCTGTTCCCTCAGGCCAGACAGGGCTGTGGGCACATTGCTTTTTGGCTAAGAAAGCATGTGGGGAGTCAGAACGGGGGCTCATTTTATAGAATGATTCTCTTAACTTCACATTCTCATCTATTTGTCCCCTTACAACATTGTGGCCTTCTCATTTTGATTGAACACATAAGCTACAGTTAGGTATCTGCTAGTTTTAGTACACAAATTCCCTCGGATTTGCTAAAATGTGTACTACAATCAATAGGTACACATGAAATCCTAAGGTAAAGCATGTCTCTTAAAAAAAAAATCAACATTGCACACTAATTAAAGCAATCTTAAAAGATTGTTCTACTACTATAAACGAATATAAAAAGTAATAGATCTTAACAAACCAAGAACTGCACTCTTGTCCAAAAGTTAATTACTCCTGCCCTTTCACTGCTTTTTCAAGGAAGTACATAGTAACAAATGGCAATTGAGGTATTTGCTACAATGTTTTTCCTTGCTAAAAGAAGGATCCCAGAAGATACAAACAAAATCTTCCTCAGTCACTTTGACTGCCAAGTCTTCCTTTGCATCTTTTGTACCAGCTTCTTGTGGAACTGGATGAGCCCCATGCTGAAACATTGTCATGTAGGTCTCTTCCATCATGACTGTGGATGCCTTTATCTTTATCAGTTTCCAGAGATTCTTTTACTGCCACAGTAACAGGAGGTAGGCTTTACCTTTTAAAGGTTTCACACCATTTCCCTACACTGCCATCCAGGACCAGGCTTCCCACACATGGATAACAAACTACAATCAAACCATAGCAACAGGCATCTTCTTAATATGTGGCCCAGTCTACATTTTTACTTTTTGGAATAGATTGTTGGCATAGCTCAGCCTTGCACTTTTAATATAATTAGGGAACACCATCTGAAATTTGGTTTCCCATATTGAATTGTATGAAATGCTAAAAATGTTTACAGCCACATAAAAATCTTCAGAAAGAAATTGCCAAGTCTAGTAGAATAGGTTTAATATAAAGTCATGGTATTTGTATAGAGTAATCTTTTAGTTCTGCATTATCAACTGCTGGTAAATGTTTATTACTTCCAAAGTGATATTTTACTCTAAATGTTTTATATCAGAATATGTACTTTTCCTTACAGTTGGTCCTTTAAAATGTTTTCATCGTTTCAGAAAATAATTTTTTCCAGTTGTTGACTTAACTCTATGGGGGTTCAAGATTTTGCTTTTCTATTTTTGCCCTTCTAAAAATTATTTAGTGGTAATAGTCATGTGGCCCGTGTTTTATATCTTAAAAAGATGCTTGAACACCAACCAGAGAGAAATCTGAGGCTAAGGAAAACAGACATCTTTCTTTGGATGCAATTTATAGAAAAATCATATTTGGCCTTCAAGGAAAGGTAGGTTTTTTATTGTTGTTGCTGCTGCTTATTCACACATAGACAAGTTGTGATCTAAATTTTCCTAGAAAAATATTTTACTCCAAAGATTTTGTTCATTTAGATTGAAGCCTAAAATTGAAAGCTTTAAAAAATAATCTGAAGGGGCATGGTACTGCAAATTATTACTAGATCTAAATGCATAAGAAATATTTGAGTGTTGAGATGTGTGATCTTTACTGTGATTTTTCTTGCTGCCTTCATACATAATAGTTTTGTTTTCCTTTCCTGACACACCTGAGTCAAGGTGGCAAAAACTACTAATGTTTTAATATTATCAATGTTAACATCTGAGTGAGAGATTGAATGGATGTTATAACTCCCCCATCCTCTGCCCCTGGGGTACAAACTGTCAAATCTCAACCACTGTATAAAGGACTTAGAGTGAACTTTAACTTATTGCATTGCTCTGCCAAAAATAATAGCTTGTTATTTTAAAATCCAAATATTAGTGGTTTTTAATCATTCCTTTTTGAAAGCAATTCAAAGAAAAAAAGAGGCATTCTTAAAATTATAAAGCAAAATCCAATCAAATGTATTAAGCTGCAGTGTACACAAGGCAAAAAATTCTAGAGTGCATTAAAATTTAATTCTTCTCTTCTGTGTGACTATGTATTGTACCACAGTAGTTTCATAAAACAATAATATAAGAAAAGTAGATATGGTAATGAGCTTTGAAGGAGAAAATTTAAGACCCATTACCTCTTTTTAGATATTTTGTAAGATCTTTTCCTCTGACTCAACAAGAAAATTTTAAGACCTTGATGAAATGACTTATTAATGTTTTATCTTTATGGAAATAGTATGTGACCCTTCTGCTGTTCCTCATTCCATTTTTCTTTTCTATAATAATATAGTTAAAATCCTTGAAGTATAAAAATTATCTGAGAACCTTATAACTTAGATCATATAAAATATTTAGTTGCTAGATCCTGTGGACATGGAGTTAACAATAAACCATACCAACTTCTGCTCTGATAAGATTAGTTTATGTATATAACTTGGAAATGTTTTCTGTATTTTATATCATAGAAGAGTCTTGTTTTTAGAAAACTCTTAGGAAGTGAAAAATAGAAAGGTCCACATGATATGATAAGCAACCATTGAAAAAAAAGCTTTTGTATCTGGCTTCCCTTTTGATGAAGAGAGGCTAGAGTGGCTCGTTCCCATTCACTAGGTCCCTTTTAGTTACAGAGATGGGATAGAGTCATGAGGGGTTCTCATGATACTTTGGGCTCTGTTGCTACTGTAGTGGGAGGTCGTACTTAGTTGCTTCTTTATAATGTGTTTTAAACTCATCAGTTGGAAATTTCTTGATGAATCTGCTCCTTTCTTAATGTTAACAGTATTTTGGTTCAAGAATAATTTATATACTGCAAAGTACACAGATCTTAAGAGTAGAGCTCAATCAATTTTGACATGTGTAGTGAAAGAATAAAATGTATTCTGTACACCCACAATGTATCTAGGACTTAGGGGCTGCTTTTGCTAAGGGTACTGGCTCTTCACCTGGACCCACAGATGCCCATTGAATAACTAAAAGCAAGATAGTAGCTTGGCATCACTGCCTCCATTTTGCATCTGTCTCCTTTGCTCTGAGTCCTTCTTCTCTGAAGTAAATTAGATTAAAAAAAATGTCTGATGGATAATGAAAGCACAAATAACCAAGATGGGAGCAGACCTCAACAGATCCAGTGATTCCTTTTATTAAGCCGCGAAGTCAATCAGTCAAGCATTGGAGGGGCTCATTTTCAGGGTAGAAAATGGCCACTAGTTATAAGAGGGGTCTGTATTTTATAGTAAATTACAATGAGGGTTACTTACTCATTGGAGACTTCAGCAGAACATGCCAGTCAGGAAATTATAAAAGTCTGAAACCCATTTTTGCTGGGAAAGGATGAAGTCTCAAGCCCAGCATTCACTACTTATCTTCTTCCTCCAGGGTCCATTGTCACTGAAAAAGGATTAATGTTTCCCTTCTTCCCAGGGATTTTCCATATCCTTCATATAGATATCATATGACAAGATTATGTACCAGATCCCATCTGACTAATTTGACCACAATTTGACCAAGACTGCTTGATTATGCATGCTTCTTGCCCCATCCCTGTCCTGTTTTGTTCTGTGCACTATTTAAACTTGTAACTCATGTTAGTCCCCAGACAGGCTGAGGATGGTTGGTCCCCCTTGTCTTCCTCCCATAACTATATTGAATAAATTCACTTTCTGTCTTTCATCATTACTGTTTCCATTTGGTTTCTGGGGCAATTGGCTGGATCTGATTTGTTCGGAGTCCCTAAATTCAGGTCTAGGCCTTCTGGCCTAGGGCTCCAGTTGCATTAATTTTTACTTCTGACATTAAATATGTGGATTTTCTACACCAAACAGTTTTCCAGTTTCCTACAGATACCATCTGAGTGGACTACAATTCAATTCTCTGACACTAACTACCCAGAGTTAGCACAGATCCCATGGATTAAGGTTTTGACACCACAGTACTGTCCCTTAGGTGCCAATTGAAAGTCAGACCTCTACTGCACTTAATGATTGCTTGACTATAAATTGGGAGTTGCTATGACCTTCCCTTTGGGTTTGATAATTTGTTAGAATAGCTCATAGAACTTAGGAAAATAGTTTACTTATGATTACTGGCTTATTATAAAAATGCATAATACAGGAACAGCCAAATGGAAGATATGCATGGCGTAAGATACCACGGAAGGAGCACAGAGCTTCCATGCATTTCCTGGGCATGCCATTCTCTCCTAGCACTTACAGGTGTTCACCAACTTGGAAATTCTCCAAACTCTGTTGTTTAGATTTTTTTTTTAGGTTCCATTACATAGACATGATTAAAATTAAATCATGAGTGTTTGTGATTTGAACTAAATCTCTAGTTCTTTTCCCCTCCCTGAAAGTCTGGGAGTAGAGATTGAAGTACCAACTCCCTAATCACATAGTTGGACCAGCCTCATCCTGAAAATATCTAGAGGCCTCCAACCACTAGTTATATCATTAGCATACAAAAAGACACTTGTAACTCCAGAGAAATTGCAAATGTGGTTGTACCACTTAACATTCCCACCAGTAATAAATAAGAGCTCCATTTGTTCTGCATTCTCACTAACATTTGATGTTGTCAATCTTTTTGATTTTGGCCATTCTGGGGATGTGCCAGTGGTATCTTATTGTGGTTTTCATTTGCATTTCTCTGACATTGAGTATCTTTTCTTATGTTAATTGGCTTTTTGTGACACTTCTTTTGTGAAGTGTCAAAATCTTTCTATAAGAAGTCTATATATTTTCTTTATTTACCCATAATGTTTATTTATGTACACATATAAATGTATATATGTTATAAATTACTAAAGCAATATACAGGTATTATATATAGGAAAGTTTTAAAATACAGGTAAACAACTTGGCATTTTTACAAAATGTTTTATATAATACTTACAATTTTATAAATTAAATGTATCACTTAACATTTTGACACATTTATGAAATGACTTTTTTTATTTAAAAAAAACCCAGCCTCACTTTTATTTTTTCTTCCTTTTTTTCTTTTTTATTGATTTTTTATTATATATGACATTGGAATGCATTACAATTCATATTACACATATAGAGCACAATTTTTCATATTTCTGGTTGTATATAAAATATATTCACACCAATTCGTATCTTCATACATGTACATTGGATAATGATGTTCATCACATTCCACCATCATTTAGAAATGATTTTGATGATGTCCCCCTGCCCCCTCTCTTCCCCTCCCGCCTCTCTGCCCTATCTAGAGTTCATCTATTCCTCCTTGGCTCCCCTTCCCTACCCCACTATGGATCAATCTCCTTATATCAGAGAAAACATTCGGTATTTGTTTTTTGGGGGATTGGCTAAAGAAGTCTTTATATATTTTCTACGTGAGTTCTTTGTTAGATATATGTGCTATGAATATTTTTGTTCATATTTGTGGCTAGCCTTTACTTTTTGAATCACATCTTTGAGGAGAAATTTAATTTCTTTGTGTGTGTGTGTGTGTGTGTGTGTGCTAGAGATTGAACTCAGGGCCTTGTGCATGTAAGGCAAGCACTCTACCAACAAGCTATATTCTCAGCCCAAATTTAAAATTTTGATGATGTCTTGATATAATTTTTCTTTAATGGTTAATGCTGTTTGGGTCCTAAGAAATCTTTATCCAAAATTGTGAAGATATTTCCTAAAGTTTTCTTCCAGAAGCTTTATAAATTTAACTTTCACATTTAGGTCTGTGCTGCATCATAAATTAATTTTTGTATAAGATGTGAGGTAGGAGGTTAAGGCAAAGTAAAGGTCTCTAGCTGGCATAGATTCTTTTGGATATTCCATACATAATTCTTCTATCTGTGACTATAATTTTACTTTCTTTCCAATTTTTAATGTTTTATTTTATGTTCCTAATGTGCTGGTTAAGACCTCTAGTATATTGGTGACTAGAACTAGTGAAATTGAACATCTTTGCCTTGTTTATAATCTTAGGGAAAATACTTTCAACATTTCAACATTAAATGTGTTAACTGGAGATTTTCAGTAAATATTGAAGTAATTTCTTTTCTTTTTTTTCTTCAGTGTGGATCTATTAGTCAAAAATTTTCTCAGGTTTTGTTTTAAAGTATCATTATTTTTACCTTCATTTCCTAAAGAATGTTTTTTTATAGCATTCTAAGAGGAGGAATTTTTATTCTATGGACACTTGGAAGATATAATCTTGTTATTCTGAATTGAATGTTCAGTTATTTGTAAGACTTTAACCTATCCCTGTACATACTTCTAAGTCTGTAAATATCCCCCTAAATGCTGCTTTTTTTAATCATAAGTTTTTAAAACATATTTTCACAATTAGAGTGTTCTTTATCGACCCTTTATTTCTAGTTTAATGTCATTGTGGTCAGAGAAATAATTCTGTATAATTTCATTCC